GAATCCCATCGGCGGCGGCGGCACCACTCGCAGCACGGACGACGAGTTTCGCAGCCGCGCGTCTTCCAATAACTCTCGAACAACGTGTGCGATTGCGAGCACGTCGGGCGTGTTTTTCACGAATGTCGCCTTATTTATTTTAACGGCGGCGAGAATTGCAAAATTCAAATTGCGAGGGAAAAAAGAAAGGTCGTCAGAAGTGGCGCGCCCGAGGTGGATATTGATCCTGGGAAATCGGCACTGCAGGGGCAAAAGGAGGGTCAACGTGGGCGGTGGATCGGGAGGACCTTTAGCCGTTCCAAACCAGTGGAGCGGCGGATTTTTTTTAAACAGAATAAAATATGTCCCGGTTTATGAAATTCTAATTACATAAAAAAGTAAATTTTATAATTAACTGGAAACGAAATTTTAAAAATATAAATCTTAAAATTTTTGAATAAATTTTAAGTTTGATAACTTTTAATAGGTTATTTTTAACAAAAACCATATTTTTATTTAAAAAAAAGTAAACTTTAAAAAATTTACACAAAAATCTAAATTATATATTAAAAATATTATTTTAACAATTAACAAACTAATAAATAAAATGTCATAAACAAACGATATAAATTAATTTTTTTCTTAATTATTTTATAATAAAATGTTATATTGATTTATTTTTTATCTTGCCAGTTTCCTCTTTTGAAAGGTCAAATTAATATAATTTACAATTTACAATTAAAATTATAATTCTTCTATATGTTTTACAATCAACGCCTTCTGTATCAAATGCTTTGTGCTTTTGGCAAATTTTAGACCCGTCGGAGCGGAAGGGTTGGAGCGTCCGCAAATCCGTGACACTGAAAGAGTAAACCCTCTGAGGAAATCGAGAGAAATTCAAAACACACTGGCTAAAAAAGGTCCTTGGCAGTCGGTATCAAGTATATATCATGGATCCGACAATAAAAAGCGATCTCGAGCTAACATTGTGTTATACTCGCCATCTCCGTCGTGTCTTACAAGAGGAGAGGTCAACAGACGGAAAAAAGGGGCAATGCGTCTCTCTCTTAAACTCGGTGCTACGATACGTCTTGAGCAAGAGCCGAGGGCAGGTTTACTGCCTTTTACTGCCCGCCTCGTTCAAAAGGGTGATTTAAGCTGATATTTGGCCAGGACGACACGCCTCCCGCTACACACACACTCACTGCGACAAAGTTAAACCTCGAGGATTTTTGCAAGCCCCGAATTAATAAGACGCGCGTGCAAGTGCTGCCGGTACAGACGGAGCAAGTAGGTAAAGAGACGTTACACTTAATCCGACAGTGCATGTTCTGGCTTGTTGGTTCTGCGTCAACTCTAACTCTATAATACACCTTGCAAGAGTGGTGCAGAGAGAAATGGTTCCCCAGCATTAAGTGGGATTTTATATCAAATAAAAAAATAGATCTTTAAACCTATAGATTATGAATAGCTATAAATTTCAACTGAATCAACTAAACTCATATTTTTGACATGGTTTGAAAAACATAAAGCTTTTCTTAAGTTCAAAATTAAAAGAGGTCCAAACAAAAACCAAACCGTTCATGCACCAAAAGAATTGTGGATTTTGGGATTTTGACTGATTAGCCAAAATTGTTTTAATTAATTTGAAATTCTGATTTTTAACAATTGGTATAATATTTGCTAGTGATGGTGCATTTCGTCCAAAAATTCAGTGTCTTCTCTCGCAGCGATTGCTCTTTTCAATGTAAATTTTTAAATAATTCGCTCTCACAAACAACAACAATAATAATATTAATGAATGACAAAAATTGTGTGATATATTTAGAGCTCTTCAGGTAGAAGAAAATTAAATTTCCACCAAAGTTAATAATCTGCTTTCAAATTTCAAATAAAAAATCACCTTTAAATTTCCTATCTGAAACTGAAAATAAAAATCTCTCAATTCCAATCGATTTCTAAATCCGCACAAATTTTTAAATATCTTTAAATATTCGTTCACTCTTCATGCTTTTGTCAATTGTTTTCCAAATTAATTAATTTCCATGTTTTTGGGCATCAAGACATTCATGATATATTTGGTCTTGGAAATTTTTTTAAATAAAGATTCTTCTATACTTTCTATTTTGTGGCTGCATCAAAAGTTGCCAGCAACTTTTAAACATGCATCAACACGAGCAAAAAATAATTTATAACTCTACCACTTTGTTCTTGCGTTGCGAAATTACCTCTATAAAAGCAATTAAAATGCATATTAGTACAACGATAAAAGAGCCGAGTTGGAAAAGAGGCCAGAGGGGCGCACGTTCGCACGCAGCAACTTTTTTCACAAGCGCGGCTTAATCGCGCCGCGCAACAAAGGGCCGGCGGCGGCTGCTTCCTTTCTCGTCTCGTACGCAATAATACAAAATGTACAACTTCAATTACGGCGATGTCAAAGAAGGGGGCTGCTGCATCGGAATCGCGCCATTTCGCAGCGCCGGCCTACTTTTCCTCCTTCCGAAAGAAAGAGTCTCTTTTTCCGCTCTCCAACACCGGCAGTCTAATTAAATGAGAATTTTTATTGCAGCCCCGAACGTCGACGAAATATTTATGTCCTCCGCGAGCCTGAATTATTCGCTCGTTATTCACTTTTATCTGGGCGCTTGTTAGGCGCAAGGACGGTCTTTCTACTCGCGCGCTACCTTTTATATTAAATTCTTTTGAACTGCCTCCCTTGGCGCGAGGGAAATTCCCTAGCTTGTGCCCAAAACACACAGGAAGATTAATTAGTGTGGCAAATTCCTCTTTGTGCCACCGGCGGGCGCAGAGGAAAGGGCTTTTCGCTCTGCACCGATTCGGCCGCGCCACTCCATCTGCATGCGCCTGTTTACGCGGTTTAAATTATTGCCCAATCACTTCAGGTGCTCGCTCGCCTAACAACAAGAAGAAGGTTCACGAGATTTTCTTTTGTTTCACGTGCAATTTGCTTCTTTTGATGTGCTCAAGAAAATAATTAAACTTGCGTGCATGAAAAAATCTAATAAGAAGAGGATGACCAAAAAGTTTTTAATTATTAAACAATTTGGAAATTTATTTTAATGAAAAATATCTAGTTGAAAAGTAAAAGTATTTGATAAAAATTAATTTATTTTCAAATAAGTTTATTTAAAAATTCAATCAATTAATTTTAACAAATTATTATTTTATTATTAAAACAAAATTTATTAACAACTAATAAATGCACATTTTTATAAATATTATCAATACAAGTTAATTGCAGAAAAATTATTTTTTTGATTTAATTTGATGAAATTTTATTCCTTCATTTATAAATTTAATATTGGATATTTTTTAAATTCCCAAAACAATTTGACTCATTTCTCATTTTACCCCAAATTCAGTCATGCAAAGGGAAATGAGAAGATTTTCGGTCACCAAAGATTCAATTGAAATATGGAATTGGTGATGGCATCGCCATGGACGGCCAATTTACAGGCTTCATTAAGCACCAGTTTGAGCTTGCTAGAAGCTAACTCGGGTCTAACTTATTCTCTTGTTCGCTCCAGATGAACTTGCCCGCAAAGAGATAAATTCTGGGAAACTTTTGTCAGCCATATTGTAGCCGTTGTGGTCCGATTAAGGGTTATGACCACTGCAACTTCTCCTCTAAATAAAGGACTCAATTGCCGAGCAATAAATACTTCAGTTTCATTTTAATTCACTCTTTCATAAAAACGTACTCAAAATTTGCGCCATTCTCAGGATAAAAATAAATCAATCAGCTGGAGAAAATGAAAAGTAGAGAACTAAATAATATAATGGTGAAAATTTTTATTAGCTTTTTCGCTGGTTACTTTGTTGCGTGATTCTCTTCCCTTTCTCACTCGGCGCTTTGCTCTATATCGCTGACGAGGTGAATAAAAAAAGGATCGAGACAATCGAAACCAGACAGACCGCAGAGGAAGAAGTCTCAATTTGGCAGAGCGTAAATCACTCGAGCCTCATAGACGCAGCAGCTTTGAATTTTGTCGCCCCGCTAACCTATATAATAGGGGTGCAACTGGAAATCTCGACGCAAATTGACAGACTAGCTCGCGTGAGAACAGCCCACGTGGTCACGTGACCGCGGTCTGGTGTCCTGGCTCGGGCTGGCACGTTAATTATTGAATAATAAAATGCAGGCAATCATAGGAGGTTTTCACATTGCTCTAAAATCAAACCGACCGCAAAAATTTGATTCTAAATTAAAAATACTTGTAATAGAAATGCTAAAATCAAATTAAAAATTAGTAATATTTACTAAATTATTGCGGAACTTTGATTTACAAGTTTTAATTTAATAAAATTCTGTATTTTTCAAGTGCATCAGCGATTAGTATTGGCTTTGAGAAGTTTTCCGATTAACTTTGACAGCAGGCGGTGAAAGTAATCGATATTGATTTCATCGGTCTTTGTGTTCAGTGGGGCCAAGTGCAGAAGGAACGGTCTCTGAGGACAATGAAGCTGCACAAAATTTTCACAAGAGCGGCGTCGAGTGGCCCCTGTGGAATAACGAGAGAGTGCAGCGGAATTCGTTTTGCGCGCCCCAGCAAACCAAACAAGCCAGGCCAACCGTGCACTTTATCAATCTTCATTATGTGCTAATTTTCTGCTTGTCTAATCGATTTAATCGCGCTGTGCACACAGGAATCTGCTTGTTCATTCATAGCAGTCGGTGGCAGGGCAGACTGCTGCTCTACCCATTCATCTGCTGGCGGCACAATAAAAGTCGCCCGCAGCAATAACATGTATTAATCATCTGACGGATCAATTGACTCTCGCATAATTTACTGTTTGTGCAATTAGCTTTGTGCAACTAAAAATGATGAATCAAAATCTGCTCTTTTTTATTTCAGCCAAGCCAAATTACGCGCTATGTCATTTTTTTAATCATTCATAATTATTCTTGCGGTGTTTACCCCTTCTTTGAATATCTATCAACTACCCATAAAATTCCAGAAATTTAATTTAATTCGGAGAAAAAGCTTTGTTTTTCCTACCTGTAAGCTGGGGTGACATCCAAGTTCCAGCAGAGATCTGACCACACCGACGTGATCTTTGTTGACTGCAATGTGCAGAGCTGTCTGCCTCCGTCGGTTTCGAGCATTCAAATCGGCACCAGCCTGGGCCAGGAGTAGAACCACTGCAGGTTCGTCTCCAAAAGCAGCGTGATGGACAGCACGATCACCATCTTTGTCCTAGAAATAAAAATTATTATTCGAATTTGATTCAAGTAAGCAAAGTCAAGTAAGAAATTAACCTCTAGTTCAACGTCTGCATTGTGTCGAAGCAGAATTTTGAGGACTTCAATGTGTCCGTTTTGACTGGCAGCTTGTAAAGCAGTGTGACTGGCAAAAACACCGTTCACATCGGCATCGGGTCGTTTCAGACACTCTTCCACCTTCTGAGCATCACCATTTGCAGCCATTTTGACCAGTTCTTCATTCACATCTCCGGAGACGTGAGTTTCAAAAAGTTTCTTGAGAAGGGCACTCAATCGCTCTGGAAAAAAAACGTAAAATTTTGGTACATATAATGATTAATTAAAGGGCTCAATATTTGAAGCTTTGTAGGATAAAAGCAGTTTTTTCTTCTAGTTTCATTTTTTTAAAGTATTCACATAATCAGCCCAATAATATACACATTACATTTGGTATAATTTAAGATGTTTTACCTCCACTTGCTGCCCCTTGAATATTTGTATCCGAGGAAGCAACTTTGGTTACTGCTAGGGGGTTATAAGTCCACGAAGTACCACAAACTTCAACTTTCAAATCATTGTCATGATAAATTTGCTGCACTCGACCAACCTTTCCCAAGGTCTGTAAATATTTTTAGATAATGTTAATCAAATCCGTAAGGCAGCATCGATAACCTTACTGGGAGCATTGCATCTGCCCATTCTCCGTGGCCTCTTTGCAAAATCTTGATTCGCTCTGCATCATTGCAAATTTGGACAAGATCTCCAACTACGAATTGAGGAGTAGCGGTCTCGGTTGCATTTTGAGAGGCAGCTGGCCCAGGTGGCTTATTAGTGACTTTTGTCAGGGCTGCTGGGTTAAAAGTCCATCTGAAGAGATTTAAATTTTAATTAACAAATCTTGACTATTCAAAAATACAAGATGCAGCATTAAATTTGACTTTTTGCATTAGTAAAGGAAGACAAACCTGTGGCCACTTGGGTACGAAACTACAATATCGTGGTCTTCATCAATTCCCATAATTGTCCCAGTCGTACCCAGACATTCATACATTCCATCTATCCAACCCCCATGTCCATGTTGAAGAGATTGCACTATTTCTAGTTCCAAGTCAACATTAACCTGCAAAATGATAAATTGAATTAAATTGAATTTTCTATAAAATAAAAAGAGCCAATTTTACCTGATCACCAATCATGAGTCCGAATGGACCAGTCTTGCCTGCACCTTGCTCTCCCAACAAGGGCAAATGGTCTCTATACACAGTTCCTCCTTTCGCATCGTTCACTACTTTCAAGTCGGCCTGGGAATCAAAATAATTAAAATGTAAATATCTTTCCTTCTTATTCTCACCATGCCCTCGAATCCAACTCGGTACAAATTCTTGGCTCCGTTATCCCAAACCACGTATGCAGCCGATCTCGGGCTGGCCGCTGACCAGTCTTGAATGTCGTTGACCTTGCCCCTGCGTCCGTTGCCACCATCCTGGTCTTCCCACTGCCAATCGACTCCGCGCACCACTCTGGCGCCAGGAAATATCCCTCGAACTGCAATTTTCTTGCTTTTCCTTCTGGTTTCCAGCAAGACCCTGAAAAATAATGTACTTTTAGTCGTCTGGTTAAATGCACAATAACATAATGCACAGCAACAAAATTGCATTGAATGAGGATATTGTATTTCTACATTGTCATCAAATTGTTAAATTAGAGTGCATGAAGCCTGATGCAAAATTGCCACTCTATTATTTTATGTGATGAAATTTTACTTTAAATCACAGAAAATTATAATTTTAATTGAAAAAATATTAAAATCTATTTTCATGAGTGCAACCGTAAATCACTAATAAATTAACATGATATTAAAGGGCTCTTTAATTACTTTTGTATTTTTTGCCAAATATTATAAAAAAAAAAAAATACGCATATTATCTTCAAGTGTACCTTTCACTGCCTGGAGTTGAAATTCTATAGAATCTATGTCTCAGATGGTGTTTATCACTGTGGTAGCAGTTGGAGCAGAGGTCGTAATTATTGCATTCGGCGCACTTGAGCCTGATGCCAAAAATGGGTTGCTGTCGGCAAGTGTCACACATCGTGCCATCGTGTTTCACACCTACAAAATTATGAAAAATTAAGAAAACGGCAGTGGACAAAACAATTACATAAAATTTATGAAAAATGAAGCAATAAAAAGTTCCATTGAAAAAAAATGTAACTTTAGTTATATGATGGTTTACTTGCCATGGGATAGGAAACCAAGCAATTTCTAATGATTCAAGCCTCAAGACAATTTATATTTGGCAACAAGAGTTACACTGAATTATAAAATATTAACTTAAGAGACAGAAAATGCAATCAGACTGTATTGTTTATATGAGATTATCGAGCATGCACCAGCAGAGCTTCACATTACACGGCCATCCCCTAATTGTGATTCACGTGTCTCTGGGGGCACGTGAACGGCCCAACTAACCAGTGGGTGCGCTGTCCAAGACCCGGAGGTCGTACGGTCCGGAGCAGCGGTAGTTGGCGGCGGTGCCGTTGTCCCAGACGACGACCACCTCCTCAGGCGACTCGAAGTTGCGGACGGTGCCAACGTGACCTTCGCCTCCGTCCTGCAAGAACCGTTTTTGTCAAAACCATAGTCCAGGAAATGAGTGTCCGACCGCAGAGAAATCTCGGACGGCGTTTCTAGTTTGTAACACGCATACATACCTGTTTGCCCCATTTCCAATCGGGGCCTCGAATAACGCGGGCTCCGACTCCCTCCATCATGAAGCGGGTGCTTCTGCTGCCGGCCACACTGTCCATGGTGTTGCGGGCTTGCGGTCCGCACCAGGGGCTTCCTCGGTAACTCGATTAGGTGCTCTGACGGCACAATCAAAACAACTCGGCTCGTCCTTCAATTCAAAACATTCACTCACAGTGGACTTGGTGGAGCATGGCGGGCATGGAAGGAGAGGTGGATCAAAAATCAAAACACAGAGGGCCCCTGCTTCCGTGCTTTAAACCTTCTAATGGGCTTTCGCGACACCAGATGACTCTACCGTACTCTCCCTTTTCCCCCTCTTTCGAGTGGCGCAAACTGGCGCAAACGATTGTTTTGCTTCAATTCAACGCAATTATGGAAAGTAAAGTTTAAAGTTTTCAAAGTTTAGAAGCACAAAAAAAAGACGATTGCAAATGCAAAAAGATTTTTTGATAATCCAATTTGAAAAAATAAAAATAAAATTCGCGCATCACAAAAATTAGACTAATTAGAGCAAACTGTGATGTTGCTCAAATAGCAATCAAAGTAATGTTTCACGTATTCTGCCGTGATGCGCGATTGTTGTTGGGGCTGTCACTGTTTATAAGCCGATTTTTTGAGCACATTGTTACGCGGCCACTGGTACGCCCAGAGGGTATAGGCTCGGACGGAAGGGCTCGGGGCGCAGTTAAATCTAATCCTGCGAGCCCGACCAAGTAGAGTTCGAAACCTGACTGGGCCGGTGATTTTCAAAACTTTTTGTAGATCAAATTACATTCAAAATCACGTTTACTTAATAAAAAAACTTGTATATTGCATAAAAAAAAAAATTAAAAAAAAATAAAAATAAAATTCCGCAAGTGTTTTAGGACTCGATCTTCAAGGACTCGCTATTTTTTTTATTTATATTTTATTGTTGTTTTTAAAAGCATTTTGTAGGTAAAATTACATTCAGAATCACGTTTACTGAATAAAAAACTTGTATATTGCATAAAAAAAAATGAAATTTAAAATTTATTAATATTGCGGCATTTGCTCCTCGGCAACATGAAACACGGCCCAGACGCCTCAGCACGTATGCAAATCCGTTTGAACTTGCGGTGGTCTAATAAAAATCCAAAAATTATTTTATCAAAAACTTCTTTTAATGGGTTTTCATAGGTTTTGCTGCGTAATTTCATAAAAATCATAAAGGAATATTAATTTTGATAAGAAGTTATATTTGGAAATTAAGAAGTTTATTATAAAATTAAATTAATTAAAATTTAAAATCGTTTTTAAAAATTGTGTCTGATTCAAAACACCTAAGATAAATATGGATTTTTTTACTGTGTTCTTTGTGCACAACCGGCAATTAATATGATAAGCGATATGCTGCAAGTATATTTTACCGCCGAACACAATATTTCTAAATTCGCCCTCACAAAAATTAGAGCAAATTTTGACGTTGCTCAAATAGCAATCAAGTAATGTTTCACGTATTCTGTCGTGATGCGCGATTGTTGTTCGGGCTGTCACTGTTTATAAGCCGATTTTTTGAACTCATTGTTACGCGGACACTGGTACGCCTAGAGGGTATAGGCTCGGTCGGACGGGCCCGGGGCGCAGTTCACTAATCCTGCGGGCCCGACCTAGCCGAGTTCGAAACCTGACTGGGCCGGTGTTTTTCAAAACTTTTTGTAGGTCAAATTACATTCAAAATCACGATTACTTAATTAAAAACTTGTACATTACATAAAAAAAATATATATATATATAAAAATTAAAAATAAAATTCGGCAAGATTTTCAGGACTCGATCTTCAAGGACTCGTTATTTTTGTATATTTTTTCTATTGTTGCGTTTCAAAACTTTTTGTAGGTCAAATTACATTTAAAATCACGTTTACTTTTAATAAAAAACTTGTATATTGCAAAAAGAAAAAAATTGGAATTGAAGAAATAAAAATAAATTCGGCAAGTGTTTTAGTCCTAATAATTAAAATACAATGTGCTTTTTAAAAATTTACTTCAATTCAATTTCATGCACATCAAAGTTAAAATGATTCATTACATGTCCAGTGGAAACCAAATGGTTCTGTTATATTTTTTAAGTTAGTTATTTTTATTTTCAAAACGAATATTTTTTTATTATACATTTTGTAAATAAGGAAAAAGTATAATTTACAACAATGCGTGTTTTTAAGCTTTAATATTATTTATTGTCAATTGTAAACAATATTCGATCTTTAATTTGCATTGTTGGCCTATCTGAATTTTTTTAATCATCTAAACGGTCTCTTTCTTCACAATTCATTAATTTCTTGATTGAAATGGCCAATGCTGACAAATTCCACGATAAAAACCCAAATTTACAAACTGTAAGTAATATTTGAAAAACCAGTAATTATAAAAATTACTTATTGTGATATTTAAAAACTTTGTGTGAATTTGAATTTGTGTCTAGGCGGGCTTGCCTTACCCAAGTCAGCCGATTAACGTGAAAAGGCTGCTCTGCGATCACGCCACGAGCGACTTCTCCACCTACGAAGACTCGTACCAGAAGAAGAAACTCGAGAAAACCGAGATGAGCGCCCAAGGTCTGAACAGGCATATCACGGAGGTCTGATTAAAAAAATTCTTGAGAGCTTTATTTTAATTTAAATTATCAGTTGGCCGGGACGATTTACGGGCCGTACGGCTACTTTGATGAAATGGTCTTGGGACCAAAGGACAACAAGCATACCCTGGGAAGAGCCCAAGAGCCTCACCTGCCGTCAAACTGGGACAAGGAACAACCTTTTGGAATGAAGTACAAAAAAGGTAAAATTCGACATAATAGAATGATAATAAATAAAAATAAAAATTACGTTAGGTTGGACGACGGGTGAGACTTTGAACTCCCTGGGCAGGCTGGGCACGGAGCCGAAAAGCCAGTCAGAATTGGGAAAAGCCTTCTCCAGATTGTAAATACTTTGAAATTTATTTGACTCTCTTATTAAATAAGTCTCGTTTTTAGCGACATCCCCTTTGACAAGGACAAGTGCTTCGGCATTCAAGTCAACGCCGACCACCGTGGCGGGACAATGTGGAAGCTGTTCGACAACCCGCATGTCGACCTGGACGAGGACAAGTACGAAGTGAAGCCCAACTCGAGCCTCAAATTCAAACAGGCCACCAAGGTGGAAATTCCCAAGTTCAGATCCAACAAGCGGAAAAACAAGAAGCATTAATTAAATTTGGAGTGATTTAGTAGCGACAGAAAAGCATTTGAATTTATATTTATTTATTATTTTATTAAATCATCAGAATTTCAGATCCACTTCAGAATACTAATTGTGAGTAAACTTTTAAGGCCATTTACAGTAGGTAAACCAAACGTTCCTTCTGGCTATATCAAGTATCTTAGTATTACATTAATATAATATAATATTATCGTAATATCTTTAAAATTAGCAGAAATATTGCATAGTAATAAATTCAATGCATTGTTTTTATTTCTTCCAATTAAAATCGGTATTACTTCTTATTATTTAATAGTTTTAAAGAATTTATTAAGGTGGAGTGACATAAATATTTTTAAATTCATAAAATTATAATAATCTGTTAAATGTAAAATAAATGTCTTATTCTCGTGACTAGAGCTTGTTTACCTGATTAAACGTTTGTTACACATTTTTAATCATCAGTCAATTTTTTTCTTTATCTGAGACTTTTAAAAAATTATTGAAACAAAATTTTACAATGAATGTAACATTTTTTACCGCTTTTTACATTAATTAAGTATTAGAGTTAAAATCTTACATCTTTCACGCGAAAATACTACTCTATTTGGTTTGTATTTTCATTGACTAGAAAATTTACTCGGCTTGGCTTTGTTCATCAGAGGTCGTGGGTGAAGCCTCCGTTGCAGGCGGATCGGCTGCTGGACTCAGTGCTTCGGACGTGGAGGTATTGCTGGCCGCGTTCCCAAAACCAGACGCTATGGCTGCAGCGGCTGCCAGCTCGTAGCTGGAACTTGCCACTGGAGCGGCCGTTTGTTGCAAGTAGGCGATTAAGCGCCGCAATTCTTCCAGTGCGTTTGCCTAAATTAGGAATAAATTAAATTTATTTTAATAATCATCTCAAACTGATCTCAAATTCAATAAAAATCGAGTTATAATAACTTTTTTAAACACTTTTTAAAAGAATGAGTCAATTTATAATGAGATTATTGTAACAACAATTAAATCAAATTAAGTAGCACAACCAATGATATTATAAATTTAAATCAAAGGCAATGACCATTTTAATAAATTTCAATTTACCACACTCTAGGAGAGGATGTGGTTATTCATTTCTCATGTTTAATTAATTTATAGATTTTGCACTTTACAATTTGCCTTTTTTTATTGGTTATTTTAAAAATAAAATTATAAATTAATCTTCTGAGATTATTTTCAGTTAATTTAAGTATTATTTACAAATTTTGTTGAAAAAAAAAGTAAAAATGTTATTTACAAAGTTTGTTGAAGTTTTTGAGTTTAACTATAAAATTATAAATCAATTAATTTAAATTTTGTATTTTACCTGCATCAAAATGTAGTTTTTAGCAAGCAGGAGGGTGGCAATTTTGGACAGCTTCCTGACACTAGGTGAATGAGCGTATGGAATGACACTCCTCAGTTCGTCCAGAGCATCATTCAAATCGTGCATCCGCCTGCGCTCCCTGGCGTTTATATTCAGTCGAACGGTCTTACCCTGTCGCCCCTTTTTACCTATAAATAATTCTGTTGAATGTTCCATTGAAATAATTAAATATAAATTTACCAGAAGGCCCCGCACCAGGTGGTTGGGGAATTCTTCTCATGCTGGGCACTGGAGGCGGCGAATTGGCAGGTGAGGACGAACTCGAGCTGGAGTTGTTGGTGCGGAAAGGGTTGCCCGAGGGTGGCTGGTGGTTCTCGTTTTGGTGTCTGGCGCCCATCAAGTGGTAAGTGCCGCTGCCGCTGGGCCCGTGGTGGTAGGGCAGGCCAGCACCAGAGGCCGACGGGTTTGCATGGTGGTGGTGGGCCGAGGAGGCCCCCGGGGACGGAAAGTAGAAACCGGCGAGGCCCACGGCGCTCAGGGGAGTGCGGCGACCCGGCTGCCCTGGAGTCTCGGAAGGGGACACTGGGGGCAGGTGGTTGGGGTGCAGGGCGGAGGGTTCACTCGAAGGGAAGGCGAAGTTGTCCATTTTATCATTCTGGAAAAGTAAAAAATAATTTATATCCTGGGCAGAGAGAGGAAATCAGTGAATAAATCAGTCAGGTACTCCTTCCTTTGGCTGGGTGGTAAATTAAATTTACGGTTAAACGCAGAGCCAAAGCCAGACGCGTTTGGCCGCCGTCCAACCACCAGCCATGCATGAAAGATAGGCTTTGGCAACAAATTGTACTTTCGTTTCAATTTGGCCGCAGATTTGTCGTCTCACGACTTGATGCTTTGCCACCCCGCTAACCACCGTGCATTTAATCAATCTGAAACCCTGCGTGGAAAATAGCCAGCTTCATCTATACAATAATGAACTGACTGGAATTTAATTTATATTTTGAAAATATTCTTTAAAAATTTAAAGGTTTAATAATAATTTTAAACCAAAATTATAACTGATTGAAATAAATTTTTGTGGATGTAATAATTTAATGTTATGATTATTCACCGATTAACTAATGAACTGTTCATTTGTGGTGCTTTAGCAGTTGATAGTACCCCCGATCAGTCGCAAGGTATGCAACACGCACGACAAGCTTACCCAGCAAGTTGCCTACCGCTGCAAACCGCAGGCGACCGAACAGACCGATGGTGCTCCACGCAGAACTCCGCGTGGGACTGTTTAAAAATTGAATCGAGAGTGAAGCGAACGAGACCAAGTTGGCTTGTTGCAGCGCCCCGTTATGCAAAACCGCAAAGCCGCCACAGAGGATTAGCCATGATTGTTTTTCTCCCTCTACCCTCTCCCCCAGCAGCGTCGACGAGAGGATCGTAAAACGCGTAATCAATAGGGATGCGAGCGATCTTCGCTGCAAATCACTTACATTTGAAACTCTAAATACGAAATTTATCTTTGCGAAAAGGAGCCGAAGAAATTGAGGAAATTTTCAATTCGTCTCAAAATTAGGTTCCACAGAGGGAAATCAATCAACGGAAGGTTGATTTAATCAACACTTACCCAGAGATTAACCAAATCACAGCTCCACTCAGCACTGCATCAGCGGCGTCGAGCTGCGGCTGGCGGCTGCTCGCGTGGCTTCCGCAGCATCCCGATAGATGGCCAACCCCATCCCTTGCGGCCAAAACTACCCCCGACCCGGCCAACTTGTTAGCACACGCGGCGCTGGTGCTGTCCCTGCGAGATGTATGCAAATCGCGATCCTGATTTTTTCTTCCGCTGATTTCGCGCATCTCTCAAAATTGATGCCCAGGTGAAGGGAAAATTTCATAAAAATTAAAAATTTCAACCACGGCCCGTCAGATGGAGTTTGAAGCTTTCGGGGGATGCTCTCTCTGGAGAGCTGGGGGGTGCAATAGGATTTTGTCAGGGGGAGGGTAATGCATCAATCGCAAAGGGTGCGTCACATTTGGTCGCGTATGCATAATCTTGCAGCGTTCGAAAAGCCGTCAGCTAAAATAATTATTAAAGAGCCCCCCTTTAAATCTCCCCGCACATGGTGCAGATAAGGGGTTCACAATGAAAGGGAGCGATGATGCGAGAGTCGGGGGCGAAATGCAAATGTGAAAAATAAATATCTGCTCGCTCTCGCAATTATTTGACTTATCTGGGCAAACATTGAGCAGAATAAATTTTCATTTTACCAATCGGACCGTAGCGTAATTATGAAAATTGGAAAGTGAAAAAAAAATGTTTAGTTTGGGCCTGAAAACTCGCGTGGGCTGCGACTACGAGTGCGTCTGCCAAATTTAGATGAATTCCCCCGTGACATTTGATTGAATCGATATTTGACCTCTCTTCTGCTCCGGCGGCGGCGGCCGCACGCTGCGAATTTAAACATACGCCCGGAACAAAATCTGGCGCGGCTCTCGTCCGGAATTATTATTCTTGCGGGCGTTTCGTTCGCACGAGTTTCCATATGCATGACGGACCGACCGAAAGCGTACATTATATACATAAATGTACATTTATATAAAACTCGCATCGGTTGATGCTGCGAGAGAGAAATTCGCGGGTGGGGAAGCGGCTCTTTCTCTCTATATATGTACAGCGTGCGCCGAAACTCACTAATTAATGAGCACTTGGTGATGGAGAGGGACGCCATTTCATGTCGATCGAACCCCTGTCGCGAGTGAAAAGCGGCGAATTTCACTCACGACAAATCCTTCCGTCGCCGAATAAGAACTGCCATATTGAAATAATTCAACTTGTGCTGAAAAACGAGCCGGGCACAAAAAAAAATCAATCAGATGGATTTAATTAAGGAGGGGGTTGAGTGAGAACTGGAATAGGTCCAAGTCATTTGAACATGACTGTGTACTTAAATTGAAATTTATTTAACGATTGGAAACTAAATTGATGACTTCCAAAATCATCTCCTTTAATTAAGAAGAAAAAATTAATAAGAGAGAAGCGTACAATATAAAACATTTCCAAATTTTGTAGAGTTTCATTGATTTTTAGTTACTGATTCTCCCCTTATGAATACTGATGGTTTCAACCCTTAATCTATTCATTGTTGAATTGATGACTGATAATTGTTTGATAAATTTTATGAAAAAATTTAAAATAAAAAACTTATATGAAAATAAATATTGGTTTTTACTCATGAATATGAATAAAGCAATAACTTTTAATGAAGTTATTAATAATATTAAATAAATTATTAATAAAACAAAACAGATTAAAACAACATTTTATGTATTACTTTGGCATACTATTTTCTATATTTCATTACTTTCTTTAAAATTTTGTTTTTTCCAGAAATAAATCATCTCTATTTATAAATAATCATAAAAAGGCCGTGTGCCTTTTACGATGGCCAGGCTGTCCGTCTGGCTGACTGCTCGCATCTGCAACCAGCATTGCAACAACAACTCGGTTCCTTAGAGAGCTCAGCAACACAATCCCGACAACTTCTTCACGTATTTATTTTGCCCGTTTTATGACGTGCATGAAAATTCAGCACGATGTGCTGCATGCGCGAGAAAAAATTGCAAGCGGTGCAGCTTTTTATCACTCGTAAAAAGCGTCCACCGAAATGCCATAGGTCAGCCTGAGCTCTCCCAGCTCTCTCTGTTTTCCGAGGCAATGTAAACGGCTCTTGCCAAATTTTGCAAGAGCAGCCACAGCGCTTCTCAGTCAGCAAACAGACGAATAAGCAAATACTGTCGGTTTTTGCTCAGCCAAAAAAGTAAAAGAATGGAATTCACATGGGATGTTATAAAAATCATGTTTGCATTTCTGCGCGTATCGGTTTGTTGACTCTCATTAAACGCATTTCGATTTTATTAATTTTAAATCATATTCCTTTAAATTATGGTATCATCAAAGTATAAAGAAAATTAATTGCTGTTTCAATAAAAATAATGTATTTATATAAGGAAAGCCTATTATATTTTTTTTTTATAAATATCAGAACTTGAATGGAAATGTATGTAACGCGCGTTATTTCCGTACGTTTTCCAGATAGTTATTCCAGAATCACCAAACCCTGAATAACGAAGATATTATTATTTTTATTTGGGCCATAAAAAGGTCCGATGAGCATCTCGTCCAAAGAGCAAAGCAAACTCCCGTGGGGCCCGATGAATATAATAAGGCGAGCGTCGTCGGAAAGGGGTTAAGTGTGTGTATCGGTGCAGCTGGGCTTTATTGGCAATATTGCGCCGATTACACGGTAGACCGGACTCACCAGGGGGCAGCCGGCGTGCAGGGTAGGTGCCCCGTATGTACAAGGTTAGGAGGACACCCTTAGGTAGTGCATGTACTCGCGGGGCACAAGTACATGCACTTGGCTCGTGAGGGATGAAGCAAGGGGTGCGCGGGTGGTGCGTTGAGAGGCTGGCAAGGCGAGGGGAGCCGGCCGGCAGGGGTGAGCTCCGGAGGCTGCGTGTGGATGGAGCAAGATCAATACAGGCGCACAGCAGCTACCCATCTTACCCGTTTCTCTTTCACAACCAGGACGCGTGTCGCGGCCACGGCGAATTTTCTTTCCGCTCTCGGACCGGTAGCATGTAAAATAATGCACAAGTATAAATAAAAGGCAGCTCCCAGTTTTTCCGCTCACTTGGCCGGGGCAATTTCTTAGGTTTCCCAGGCCTCCTGCGATTTGTACATTCAACATTTACATTTTTTTTCTATCTGTATTTTCTTTGTTTTTATATTCTTGTTTTGCTTCTACCTCGCCTGGGATTTGTCTGGCGTGTGGAATTCCACATGAGCTAGACGGACAAAGTGGGCATAATTGCGCGCGTTCAAGTCGCTCGTTTTGCATGATTTATGGCTCTTAAGCATAGTCAACTCGGAACTTGTTGGCTACGAGTGAAAACGTGTGCCGTTTTACAAGCGAGATGCTTTTAAATTTTAACCAGTCCAGTCTCAGCATCCACATCTGAGAGCTGGAATATTTAAAGTGGCTGCTACGGATTGATATAAAAAGAAATGACCTACCCAGAATAAATAAATTCACAGAGTGAAATGATGAATATCTGCAGGCAAACAATTCAACTTAATTCTCTTAAGATTTTTTTAAATTGTCTTCAACAAACTATGGTGCCTATTATGACTGAAAATTGAATATATTTCCCGAATCGTCGTAAAGGAAGACGATAAAAAAATTATATTCTCGTCTACTTTATTTCACTTCTTCATCTCCGCTGTTTGAATCCACTTCAGACACGATTGTAGGCTCCAATCTTTGCATATATCTCCGTGGTGCATTAATAAAAAAGCAATAAAAACTCTGGAAACTGTTAACAAGGACGCCCGGGACGCGTCGCACTTCTTCTTAACGGCTTCCGAAATTGCCTGAGCACTTTTTCACGCAAGCAAGGCGAATAATAAAAAGCCAGATTAAAGGTGAATGTGCGACGAAGAGACGAGTTTTTAGGCAAAGTTTTTTTCGTGCGCCGTCTTGGGGCGTGTGCATTCAATAACGTGGGTAGGTGATGGATGAGACTCGCATGAGTATTGACGTGCCTGTTTATCCATGCACCACACCAATTGAAACATTCGGGCGACCTAGTCGGGGCAAACTTATGTATATATGTGAACAAGACAATAAGCCAGAAAAGTCGGAAAAAGCATGTATACACTTTTCCAATAAAAGTGTAGTATTCTTTGGGGTGCTCAAATCAAACGGCGTGCTTTAGATTGACTTGATGTGTCTGTGTTTTTGCAAAAGCGGACCGAATGGAGCTGTTGGTTTAAAATATTTTACTAAACTGGTAACTGACCCAGATAGAAGGCTTCATTGCAAAGGGCAGACCTTTTATTTTAATAAAATTTGAGATGAATAAAAAAAATCAGTCATGATCAAAAATAAAACTCGTAAATGATAATATAATTATAAATTGATTACTTTTATTTTCAAATTTTATTATAATGATTGATTTATTGATAAAACTGGCGATCTTACTCTAATTGTAAGAACAAAATTACTGAAAAAGAAAGAGAAATAAATTCACATTCATCCTGCTGATATTTGATATACGATTTAGCAGCTTTCTAATTTATGTTCTTTACTAATTTTCTTTATTTTTTTAAAAAAAAGTAGTAAGATATTTATTACAAAAAAAATTAAAAAATTAAAGCCAGTAAACAAAATCATTGTTTTTAAATATAAATTATATATTTTAATTTAAATTTAGTAATTGTTATGTTATATTTTACAAAATTGTCATAAAAAAATTATAAAAGAATAAAACGACTATTTAAATATAATCTGCAAATTGTACATAACAAATGTGAAAACTTTTCATCAGCTATGACACAAATTATCAAAACGTATCATTGCCGATGGCATGGTTGCAGGTTTTGCTGTTTCCTGCGTGTGCCGATAATCGAATCACACGGAAATTATTTGCTTGCGCCACGAGGGAGCCGTAAAACATGCAGGCGCAACTCCCTGCATTATATTTGCCTGAGAGCTCCGAGGCTCTCTAATTGCCAACGCTGGCAAAATGCAAGCAACGCGCG